CCCCAAAACCCCAAAACCCCAAAACCCCAAAACCCCAAAACCCCGACTTCTAATGTTGTAATTGAAATATATGAAGGAAGAAGACTTTAAGCTTATGAGGTGCTTTCTTCCTTCTCAGCTTCTTTGAGCATCTGTCTCTTTTTGTACCATCTTCTTCCATATCAATAGATGATCAGACCCACGAATGCAGCGAAGAAGAGAGAAAGAAAGACTGCAATAAGGATAAACCAAATATCAACAGTAGGTGTAGGCTCTTTATACCCTGCGACTTCAAAGAAGAAGCCATAACTATTGAGGCTGGCATCAACCGACTCAAAATTAGCATCAAGGAAGACTCTTCCACCTGGTGAGTAGTACTTCTGTTCTTCTTCTTTAATCTTGCTAAAATCAACAGTTGTTGTTAGTTCTTCTTCTCCGTACATTTGATTTAAACTAAATATTGTAACGTTGATGAACAGTAGAGCTTACCTAAATACCACTTGGCTAAAATCAATTGTTTCAGAAAGCCAGTTCCAATTTTGTAAAGAGAATAGCAAAGTATTCTGGTTATTATTAGCCAACTTCAAACTTTGGGCACTGTCAGTCACTATATGTTGGTCAAAATGGTACTTACACCAAGCTCCTGAAGTAATCCTGGTCCTGATCTCTCCTGAAGTTTCATCTGCAATTTTCCAATTATCCAACAATTCTGACGGTGGCTCTTCAAAGCACTTGAGCTTGTACCGAAGATTGACCTTGCCTGCAAGGTCAATCCAGTGACAAGGATCATAGCCTGGGTTAGAAAAAGTGTAATACGGTCCATCATCAGCAGGACCTCCTCAAGGCCTTGAGAAGTCAGGCTCAAGAATGGTGATATTACAAGTAGGAATGTAATTGATGATGCAGTTACCTGAAGAATCAGTACGGCACCAGCACCCGACTCGGGTGCTGGTTGCTGTAATTGTTCAGGTGTAGCCAGCTTTGTCATTGTAGTTGAAATATCCGGCTTGAGTAACTTGAACTCCATTACAGGTGTATACATTCAGATTCGTAGTAGTGATAGTCTCAGCGCTTGTTCATCCAGAGCGTCCATTAAATATAAGAAACCCTGTAGTCTCCATTCACATAAGTATTCCCCTGCCCTGCTGAATGATCAACGTACTCCTCCTCAATACTAGTCAGTCCTCTCCTGCCTTCATCTGGCTGAAGCCTTCTCTTCTGATCCATTTCCTTGATCTCTTCTTGCTGTAGTTTCTCAATTTCTTCTGCATTCTTCTGGGGGGTTCCTACACCAGGCTTTTCGGAGGTTTGCGGCCTTTTGTTCCTGCATTCTGCAGAGTTGGAGCAACGGGTCCCAGCTAGGGTCTGGTACCATGCTTGCATTGAAGTTGAAAGCATGTTAAAGGTTTTTATAGTGACCCCGTTTTGTGCGAAGAAATTTTTGAAAAATCCCTTAGTCCCGTGCTCCATTATAGTTTGAAAGTCGTTTCCAGCTGCTTGATTGGATTTTAGAAGTGTGAGTAGCACTAAAAATATAAATATGAGGACTTTTCTCATTTTTGTTATAATTTTCTAATTTTTTATCGAAAATTAGGGGTTTTGGGGTTTTGGGGTTTTGGGGTTTTGGGG